CCACCAACTGTCATATTGACATTCCGAGACCACACCGTGTCTGAAATGCGTGCGATACCGACACTAAATAACGAAACACGTTTTTTTTTTTAAATTTTAGCTGTTTTTTACATTTTAAAGATAAAAAAAAATTCGGCCGGTTAAAGCGGAGCTCCGGTTACTGTACCTAGAGTTACCATACGTCCAAGTAGTGTTCGGATCTTCAAAATGTTAGGATTTACGGCAGTGAATGCGGCGAGAAAGAAATTTGGTTTTAATAGAGAAAATCTGACGTATTCGAAAAGCAGGCGTCATTTCCGCCAATTAAAGGAAATTCATTGTATGCATTGTTTGCATCCATTGTTGATGGGAAAGTGGATAAACCTCCTTATGTAGGCCCCAGATCAAACCGAAAAATAAAAGCGTTAGCAGTTTTGTTTGAATTGTTTTTCAGTAATATAATTTTTAATTACCAAACATTAAAAAAAATTGTATCTTCTTTGTATCCCGATGTCTTAATTTTTTATTTTTTATCGCTTCCTCAAACCCTGCGTTATGAAGGAGGTTCGTTGGTTGGCAGCTTTTAGAATTTCATACTATACTTTGACTTCCCTCAAGACCCTTCAATTCCCTCTCCACTGCGCGTCCGAATTTCAACCAAAAAATTGTGGTGACCCTAGTAATGCCCTCGCGATAGGTGGGACCGCCGAAAAGCACTCAAGACGGTGTATAATTTTTCATATAAATTCGTGCTAATAGAGGCAAGATCCAGGAAAACAGCCATTTGGAAAAAAAGTATGAAATTTACTTTTCATACATATCGAAATAAAACACTACATATCAATGAAAAAGTGTTGCACAAAACGAAGTCATTGTTTACCAACGGATTCGTAAACCCTACGCGCTTTTGCGGATGCGCCGGGCGGAGTTATTTTCATCAAAATAGGGGGGAAGTGAATAATGGAAGGGTGATGTTTACATTTAACTGAGAGTGATCTAACAAAGAACTCCGGAAATGCGCTCATATGACGTATTGCCTGACACCCCTTTCCGGTGTAAAATCGTCCAGAAGTGGTAGTCTCGGAATCTGCTGCTGAAAAGTCATCGATGACATGGCTTCCGAAAATCTAAGAAACTGATCTGACGACTCAACGACATTTTTTTTAGTCATGCAGTGGCAGCGAGGAGGGTGGGAGTAGTCTCCTCCCTACTTTTTGTTGGAAAAATCAGATTTTTATTTCATTTTAACTGCCTAAAACTAAGAATTATTAAAAATCAATACTGTCCGGGAAATGTAGCTAAGTTTGCAGCTAACTTTTAAAATTTTATTGTCTACCCCTATACTCCCGGGTACTTTCAGATGTCTATAAAATTTTTGCTCCCCTACTTTTTTAACCCAATCGCCGCCACTGTTGTCAGTGGCGGTTTTTAGCACAGGTGCTAGAGGCGCTCGCCTCGTTCGTCAAGACCCTGGGGGGGGGGGGGCAAAATCAATTCGATTGTACATCGCAATATTTACATTCGATTGTATTCGCCGAGAGCGAATTTCAGACGTTGGGTGAGAGGGAAAACAAATTAATGTCTGTGGCTCATATTGTCAAAATCCGCCACTGACTATTGTCATGCAAAATTTCTTCATAGGAAAATAATACATTTTTTAATTCCTTACCTTGAAATTGCACTAAGTTGCGCAGTTTATTGTCTCCAAAATTTGTAACCCTCTTTCAAAGGAGCCGAGACCTTCAGGCCAGCCTGCAACTGTCATCTGCTTTTTCTGGAGCATCTGCTGGCCAAGGTTAGATCTGGCCAGCCTCTTCCCGTACTGGGAAGAAAGGATGGGACTCCGAGTAATTTTGGATCTGACAGGACACTTATAAGTATCATAAGTGAAAATAATTGCTCTTACCGAATAAGTACTTGAAAAAACATGGAAATAATTTCAAGCACCAATATTCGAGTCTTTTCATACCTGGGTGGCAAATATTCTCAAAATTCAGACATCTCAACTTCAGCGAATTTTGCCTACAAATCTGAACAGCATTAGAACTCAGGTGTACCTACTGTCTTACCGCCACGAGAAAAACCCTAGACACCAGTCATGCCTGTGGCGGTCGTTATGGAAACGGGATTTTCCACTGCATTTTAGGGGTGAAGGAAAGAGCTTTATTTCATTTTGCGTAGATAGAACCGGCGGAAATCTCATTTCTCTTTGTACTTCGTTCGAAAACGAATTCCTCGCCTAACGGAAGTGCGCTTAGGTTGCCAAATGTTGCGGTTGATTTTACATCTGTATCCCTCCTTTCTTCGACTCGCCTATTTGATGCAACCCTGCTCAGGGTTTTCCTCCTGGCGGCAGAACAGTATGGTAAATTACCGATTCCGTATCTATAGGGAAAACAGGAGAAAACAAAGAAAACTTTTTTTCCAAGGGTTTAAAATCCTCATACCTTGTTTCAAATTCTTTCGAAGGCGTAAAATTTTTCCGCGTATTTTTCATGCGATGCGGTTTTCCCTAAAATGATTTGTTCACGTGGCATGTCGGAAAGTGTTTTAAATCTTCATTTTTCACCTGCTTTTTCCAAAGAACTTGCTTCAAAGGAATGTTTTAACTTGGTAATTGGCGAATGTTGTGGTTCTTTATTAATAAGTATAATTAATCAGGAATTTTACAAATTAAGCTACGAAGTTTTTATTAAAAAATTTGTTACATACTATTATGTTTACTGGGCCGCAAAGATATTCACTGTGGGCTGCATGTGATCTGCGGATTTGTCACTCCTGATCTACTAGATGTAGTGCATATAGTTAGAGATGCGCATTGAATAAAATACTCTCTCTGGCTACGTCTTCTAACTTTGCGAGCAAATGCCTTTCCAGATTAAAATGCAACAAGATTTTTTTTGCAGTTGGGCGTCTGCTAAAAGAGATCCATAACTTATTTTGGGCTTTCTGCGCTTCAGGCATCATTCTACCAGGGCCCGTGTGGTCAGCTGGTGCGGTGCGGAAGTTTGGAGAGGGAGGTGTCGGCACTGGTGTCGTCCTCGTCATCTGACCACGGTTCAAAATTACGAGGTCCGTCCACAAATAGCCCTCGTGTTGCTTTAAAACTGGACTGTAATATATATCTAAACTACTAGTACTGGATTTTAAAATAGGCAAAGGAAACAACTGCCTAGGGGCCCTCTAATGTTGGGGGTCCCGTGGGTGATTTTTTTGCATTATTTTCAGGGTAATTTAATTTTGTGCTTTCATTTTATTTATAAGAGCTGTGTTCTCGAACTTGTTCAAATTAAAACCAATTATCGTTTTCATTTCGGAACATTATTATTACGGTTCTTTCCATGTTATCAAATTCGCATGAGTACAGAATGGACCTCTTTTTTTTGTATTTATCTGAGTGACTCACTATCAACAGCCCTGGCAAAATTATGAGAAACTGCATAGGTTGTGTACGTGGGTTCGAATCCCACTTCTTACAGAGGTTATTTTGCTCTTTTTCCTGAAGATGGCGCCATATTCAGCGTTTATTTTTATTTAATGTACTGTAAATCTGTACGTCAGAAATAACAATCTTAAGCGACAATTTTAACATTTTACAAGGAGAACCAAAAGAAGTTTCATCAGATTAATCCTTGTAGGGACCTATAGGCACTGCACCTTTTTGGGGCTCCTCCCCAACTTCCAAAGCCAAATATTTTTTTTAATTTATTTTAATTTAATCTGTAAACGGGCAATTTTTAATTTACAAATATTTTGCTGAATTCGAATAACAAAACATTTAATTGTGGGTCACTTTCAAGATACCTATCTCGAGTATAAAACAAATTTTAGTTTCAAAGTAATTTGAAAAAATAAGAAAAACACTTACTTAATACAACCTATGCAGTTTGCAGTGCCTATAGGTTCCTCCAGGGAATAATCTGATGAAACCTTCTTTGGCTGCCTTTGTAACATGTTAAAATTGTAGCTTAAGATTGTTATTTCTGACGTACAGATTTACAATACGAGAAATAAAAATAAACGCGGAACGTGGTGCCATCTGCAGGAGAAAGAGCAAAATAAACTCTGTCAGAAGTGGGATTCGAACCCACGCCCACATTCGTGGACCAGAACACTCAGAGCTCTGCAACAGAGCAAGGAATTACCCTTGAGTCTGGCGCCTTAGACCGCTCGGCCATCCTGACATGCAAAGCTTTGAATCGTATTGCTTGATAAGCTTTCTAAATTCTGTTATGAACTATGATACTTTTTGTACATATTATAAAATCATCACTGTTATAGAAATGCTGATAAAAAGATAAAATAATAGCTATTTTATGTTTAGAATATCTTGCGTATTCATTGATTTTTTTTTTTTTTGAAGATCCATCACAGCATTAGGAGACTTACTTTTATTTTGTTAATCGAATCATTTTAAATGTTTCATCTATAACAAAATGATATTGGTGCTTTTATGTACTTTAATTATATGGAAGCATATTATTGATAACGCCTTTTCCTGTGAAATAATATATATTTTTATATTCAATTTTCGCTGACAATGTATGGTGATATCGAAAGTTCAATGAAGTTAAATTTATGAATTCAGTATCATGTTTATGAAATGAATGCGTGGAAATATTTTTTTCTGAAAATTTCGATTTTAAAAATATAGAAAGAAAAATGTATAAAGTTATTTAAGAAATAATGATAGAACTTTTTCTCATGAAATTGCTTTTTTTTCTTCTTTCGTGTTAATTTTAGAATGATGAGGAGTCCACTGACATTTCAGTTCTTCAGAAAATAAGAAAGATTATGTATTGTTTATTTTCGACAATCTGCATTTAGAAATTATTCTTTTTAAAGTGGGTTTTTACATCAATATTTTTGTAGAATTTCTAGTATCAAAAAGAAAAAGAAAATTTCTCTAAATGAAACTTTTCGAAACATTCTTTTAAGAAATTCCTGCTCTACATTGAAGGAAGAAAATGAAAGCATCGTGGGTAACTGGTTTCAAACGTTATCTTGAGAAGCAACCGTAACCGTCGATAGCTCAGTTGGCAGAGCGGTGGACTGTAGGAGTTAAAAATGCAGACATCCATAGGTCGCTGGTTCGACTCCGGCTCGACGGAATTTCTTTTTTCATTTATTTACTAGCTGTTATGCCCTGATTTGCTGGGGATTAAAATACTTTCATGTCTAATATTTTTGATGTCAAAAACTGCTTTTGTATAGAAAATTACAAAACCCCAAATTCTTTTATCTTCTGAAAAGTTTTATAATTAAAATGAGAATATCAATTGAGCCAGATGATTTTTAAAAACCGCCGATAGCTAATTTTCTCCATAAGTTATTAATATTTTTTGCATATGTACTTCAAATTTAATTCATAAATCTTGCAGTATAGGAAAGATTTTAACGGATGTTTTGGGACAATTAATTACATAGTATATTTTTAATTTAGAAAAAGCGTTGAAACAAATATGAATAAAAAAATAATAAAATTAGTCTTCAACTAGAATTCTTCTAATATGAGATAGCACCAGTTCTTCTTATGTATTTTTTGTTCTTCACCAATAAACAAAAGTGTTACAAATTGTAAATTTTATACACAATTTAATTTTTGAAAAATTTTTAAAATCAGGGCAATGAATTGAACGGAAATGAGACTTGTGTCATGAAAAGATAATTTTTTAAACTTTAAATATGTGTAAAAATGGTTTTTGTGACATAATACATATTTTCAAAAAATATCACGGAAAATGATATATCTTGCTTAATTTCCAATTAACTGAAATTGTAATAAGATTAAGGCTTTTAAATGCTGATGATGATCTCTCTCGTCTTATATAAAATATATTTATAAAAATAAGCAAACATTTCAGAAATAAAAGTATATTAGTTCAAAGTCTAACCGTTGCCTAGTAACGGAGTAGCTATAAATTTGCGTTATTTCAAAATCGTCTGTTGGTAATTAAGAATTAATAAATTTTGAAAAATTAATAAAGTTGAAGAAAAAATGTCACAGACATAAAATCGTTGAAAAAGTAAAAATTTGAACTTTAAGATGGTATAAAAATAATTTTTGAGGGCAATTAGCTCCGAAGTTACTGCGGAAAAACGGTTTCGGTTAATTTCTAATTAACTGACTGTTTAATTAACGTTTGCACTTTGAAAAGTTGACAATAATCTTTCCCGTGTCTTAATTAATAAGTATGCAAAGTTTGGTTGAAATCAGTGCCGTGGTTTAGGAGGAGATGTGGAACATACATGCAAACATTATTAAGATTATATTAAGATTTATTATATCAAACCTCAAGAAGATTTCAGAATATTTATGAATCTGCGAAATGTTTAATTTTGGTGGAATCTCTCTTTAATTATTGATGCTTAAATGTAAGAAAAAATATTTCTTAATACTTTATAGAGATGTGATGATATTGCATTTATAATAGTACATAGGTAAAAAAGACCAATCTTTTACTACTGGTTTATTAATTCTCTATTTATTATTTCATTAAAAATATTTTCTAATCTTATTTAATTTTGGTGGAATTTCTCTTTAATTCTTGATGATAAATGTAAGAAAAAATATTTCTTATTACTTTATAGAGATGTGATGATATTGCATTTATAATAGTGCATAGGTAAAAAGGATCAATCTTTTACTATTGGTTTATTAATTCTAAATATTATTTAATTAAAAACATTTTCCAATCATTTTAAAAATGATATTCTGCCTATAAACTGGACTAAATTCTTGTAAAATTTGTAAATTTTGTAAGATTAAAAATGGAATTTTTGTTTTGATAGAAATGGATGCGAGATTAAAATAATAATAATAATAAATGAATAAATAAAATATTAATTTGAGCCAGTGACCCTTTTGCTTTGATTATCGCAGTGAGAAGTAATATAAATTCTGAAACAGAACGGCGAAAAAATAACTCTGATACTCTGTTTTAGCGAGGTAGGTTAGTGAATTTAATTATCCATGATTCTTTTCGTTGGTTGAAATAATTTGGAGACTTATTTTTTAAATATTCTATCGCTGACTCTCGGACGAACTATTAAAAGTTGTCAGCTTCACTCAGGGCCGAATTATCAAATAAACAAAGTAGGCAACTGCCTAGGACCTCCGAGGCTTCGTGATTTTTTCCCCCATTATTTTCGATGTAATTTAATTTAGCAGTGCCATGCATTCTAGCAGATTCAAATTAAAATCAAGTTTCAGAAAATTATTCTTAGTAATTTTTCATGTTTTCGGATTCAATTGCAGATCAGTGTGGTCCAGTTTTTTTGCAACTGACTGACTGACTCAGCAGTCCTGATGAGCTAATAGGGCATTTAAGTTGCGTAAAAAAGTTATTAGTAATAGTATATAATCAAACTATCTTTTGTATTTCATTTGTATGATTATTCATAAGGTAATTTCATTTTATTTTAATTTTTAGATTAATATATGTATATGAAAATATAACACAAGTTTTGATTATTTGAAATATTTAACTATATATATATAAAAGAGGCAAAACATAATGGAAAAATAATAAAATAAAAAATAAACATTCATATCGAATTCGAAAGCATATGAAAAAACGAATTGAAAGTATATCCGAGTAAAAGCAATCATTTCATCACATCGTAATTCTGTTTTAATTATTAAAACTCCTCTCTCTGTTTTTTGGTTTGTTTGGCATTAGGGATGAAAATCAGTGTTTTAGGCCTTACGGTGTAACTGATTGCAAGAAAATGTCAAACTTTTTATATTTAGCAATTCACAATAACTTCATCCCCTGAGGAAACGTTATTGTGCTTTTATTGCGTTTTTCATTTCACATTTTACTCTTTCATTTTACGATTTATACTCTCTCTCTCTATATATATATTGCCATTTTTAAAAAATTACTTTTAAATTTAAATTTTAAAAATTATTTTTAATTACAACTTTTTAATTAAATTCTCCTGAAAGTGACCCACAATTAAATATTTTGGTATTTCAGTTTGTCTTAATATTTGTTACTTAAAAACTATTTTAATGAAAATCAGTGAAAAATATTTTGTTTTGGAAGATAGGGAGGGGAAAGGGGAGCCCTCGAAGCTTGCATCGCCTATAGGCCTTTACAGGTAGGGTTGCCATAATTTCCAAGCATTGATACATGACGTTTAAGTGCTAAATAAATAAAACATGAAAAAGTAGGTACGTAATGGTTTATTTTACTCTGATAAAAAAAATCAATAAAGTTTAAGCAATCTAATAAAATGAACACGTAGAATATTGAAAAAGATGCGAGGCTAATCCTTTTTAGCCTGGTCATATTCTAAGGTTGATTTTACTTTCCTAATCTAATCATATCATTTTCTTCTTGCACATAACAATAAAATTGGGCGCAAGTCATCTTAAAATTATAATGACGCAGAGTTTAGGGAAAAAACAGGACAAACAGTAATATTGTACCGAGTAGTGAAATACGGTGAAAGCTTATACACGGGACGTATGGCAACACTACCTATGATTCGACCCCGGTTACAGTTATACTCAGTTCAGTTCTTGAATTTAAAGTAAAGTACGGGAAAGTTTTCAAATGAAATAAATCGCCGCTTAACAAGCAACAGCACCTATCTCAATTTTTTGAAATTTCAAAGAGGAAGATTCAAATGAATTTTTCGCAATCAGTAACGAAAGAAAAAAAAGAAATATTCATTGCTGGTTGTGAAAAATTCATTTGAATCTTCCTCTTTGAAATTTCAAAAATTTGAGATAGGTGCTGTTGCTTGCTAAGCGACGAAATGCAATATCTTGTGCACTGCACCGTACATTTTCCCTTTAGAATTCTGCACGGACTTCAAATTGCATCCATAGATAGAACTGAAAAACAATTTTATCAACACGTGTTCACGTGATGCATGTGTCAAATGCGTTTCGACAATTTAATTTTGAAATCCATTGCACATCTTACAACGAGGGAAAAATAGGATATTGCACCACAGAGCAGTGTATGCCCAGTTGCAGAGTACTCAGCAATGTACGAGAGTATGCTCAGTTTCGTTTGTCTTGTGAATTTCACGGCATTAAGAAAATTATCTTCATTTTAAACATTTTGCCAAAATTCATAAAAAATTAAATTAGTTTAGAAATCGTTTTATTTATCTTTAATTAAATTTTTTCTTGTTTATTTTATTAATTTCCTTGTTTATTTTGGGGCTGCCAAAATCTTGTACAATACTGAAATAGGGTAAATTTTTTTTGAGGGGGGGATGAGGGGGACAAAAACGGGTCTCAAATAAAAAAAAAATCTTTACGAAATCCAGCTATATTTCAAAAAAAAAAAAAAAAAAGCCATTTTGAAAATATATATCTTTTCATTATATCTAAAATAATGAAAATAAATCACAAATATTTATCGTTAGTTCGGAAATGAAAATGTAAATTATACAATAAATAATATAATGCCTCCAAGAGACAGCCATTAAAACCCTATTCATAACAGAAGAGAAACCATAGCAAATTCTTAACTTTTCGCTTTAAAAGCTCGTAAACTTCGTCAAAACAATTCTCTCAAGTTCCAAGAAACCTTCACTTAGATCTCGCTTTAGTAACCAGCCACTTCCCAAATTAAATTATTAATTACGTAGTGATTAAAGTGACTAAAAGGAGGCGGGAAAAAAAGAACAAGCAAATTGGCCGTTTTCTGGCGGGAAGTCGACCGCACCAATTAAAAATAACTTTCATCATTCCTTTTTAATAAGGAAATGCTTTTACTGCGATTGGAAGACTTTTTTCTTTTCTTCCCCCCCCCCCTCCCCTTCTTCTCCTTTCTACCTTAATTTCAGTTCTCGAAACGGAAAGACAGAAATTTTTTTTTGAAATGGCAACGGCGTGAAATAAAATTACTTCCGGCGTGCGAACAAAGATGTTAAGGCATTAAATGGAGCAGCTGAAGAAACATAAATATAAATCATCCGAAAATGTTAATGCAAATTAAGGGGTTGCTTTTGAAAGTGAATCGGTTTTGATTAGAAGATTTTACCCTCAGACGAAAGAAAGCTATATGTCAGAGATTTTTGATGATTGGATAGCTTCTATGAAATTAGTCGAGTGGTTAAATGTGAATTTAGGCTTAGTTGATGG